CATTTCTTTCCCTGTTTTTAAAACTATTACAGTTCTTTGACTTTGTTGACTTTTTCTTTCTTTTCTCTGTTAATGAGTATATCTTAAAATCTTACTGTATGCTATATCCAGGGCTATTTGTGTGGAACATTCAGAGATTACTCACAAGGTCCCTAACCCAACTTGGGAGGCATCTCCCAATTGTAATTGAATTAGGAGGCACCTCTGTGCACAAGTTGAGGGACAAAAGCATGTTTGTGTGATGCTCTTCTAAGGAGGCCACATTACCGAATTATTACTGCCAAAAAACACTTAGCCAAAAATGCGACAAAGGTATGAGGCTACAGGGTCATTGAAGTCTGGATGGGCATGAAGGATAGTTATGGAATTGACTGTGGTGAGGGAGCTAATATTAGTATCAGATTAGGAACAGTAGCAGGCAGTAATAGGGTTGACTAAATGGCAAAGAAAAAAAAAATCAGCCTGAGATTTGGGTGACTGAAAATAAACATGGGAGGGTAAAAGTTTGAGAAGTGGGAGGATGAAAGCTGTTGGTTCAGTGCTTCATCTTAAATATGTCTGTAGGAAAAGGTGGTGAGATGAGTTTTAGTGTTTATACTTAATATACTGTTTATATCAAAGTAAAGTTTAGAGAAAGAACAAAGATCCATATTTGTCCTGGCTGTGAAATCTTTTTTGGATACTGATTTACAGAGGTGATTAGGTATGTAACTGTTTTCCAGTTACATTCTTTTTTTTTTTTTTTTTTTAAACAAATTAACAGTTTTACTTTATTTACCTTTCAGTAGTTATTTAAATCCTTGAGGGATACAGCACCACATGGATTCTGTGTCCAATGACCTTAGCAGGAAGGTTGCTTTGGACTTTGGCACGAACCATGCTGCTATTTCTGTGGGCACGAGATAGCTTTTCTCCAGATTACGCTGGTTTTGTTAGGTTTGCCGCCAGGAGTCACTGTGTTGTTCTTTGCTTTGTACACATAAGCACATCTTGCCTAAATTGAATTCGGTTTCATCTTGGGTATGAGCACCTTCAACTTTAAGAAGAGCTGTGTGCTCTCTCTGATTCCGGAGACCCCATTTATAGCCAGCAAAAATAGCCTTGGACCACAACCTTCCAGATGTGTTTGCTGGTTTAGAAGTCCTGTTCCCATCAGCCCTCCACAGGCTCCAAGATGGTGGAAAGGGCCCAGTTCACATTCTTATGCAGAGAATGCAGAGGCAGGTCTTGAAAGGAACTCTAGAGTAGATGCAGAAGTAGTTGTGGAATGGGAAAATATTATTCCAGTATACCAAATGAGGTAATATATTTGGAAGGTCTTAAACTCTGAAGTGCTAAATCACTGTATTTGAGAATATAACTCTGTGCATGTATGAATGTTTGTACTTCCTGTAGTGATTGAAGATCTTATAGAGCCTCTTCTAGCTCAGACCCTACCCATATCTTATGGGTGCCAGTTCAGCCTTGCTGTAAGAAGATAGAGGATCAAATCACAATAATTACATATATTCCCAGTCTTGCTGTTTAGCTAGGGAGAAATTCTTAAGAAGAGTTATTGTTGGAATAAGAAGCAATTAGTAGATATCTTACACCTGTTAATGATCAGATTTTTTTTTCCATGTTTGTAGTTTAGCTGTTATAAAATGGAAGAAGTGGATTTAAAACATCTTTTACATATATTTAAAATGTAATACATAAAATACATTACAATAAGGCACAGAAAATAATGTACCTAGAAACCTACCACACAAATGTAATAGATGTTACTGTTTTGCCATAGTTGGCTTCAGTTTTGCCATAGTTGGCTTCTGTTTCTGTTGCTGTTTTTAAAGCAATAGAACAGCATATATAGCTAAGGCATGATCAGCCCACTCCCACCCCTTTTCTTCACTCTGAGTCAGCCTATATTTATGATTTTGGAAAACTGTACTTATATTTTACAAATTTTTATTTTAATCAGCACAACATTAAAAACTAAAATTATTGTTTGGACAAAACTTTCTGACCTGATAAAATATAATCTGAGTGGTTTTTAAACTTTTTTTTTTACTGTGATCTGCTGAATGATACATGTGTTACATTGTGACCCAGTACATATTGTATACACGTTTGCCTATATGTAAGCCTGAAAAAGTTTCTAAACCATAGTTTGCTGTACCTGTGATAATATCCTGTTGTTGTGCAAAAAACGGCAAGGAGGCCACATGTTCTGACCTCCTCTAACCCTACAAGGGGAAGGCAGGATTACCAGCAGTAACCCAAGGCCTATTACTGCAAGGCCAGACATGCTGCCTCCCTCCAGCCCT